CTTCTAAAATATTTTTGAAATCCATTATTAATGTTTAAGAACTAATTTCTTTTGAACTATTTCCAACGTATGCTTTTGACTCGAACCTTATTTATTTAAATGATAAACTGGTGCGCTTTAATTTTAAATCCCTATTTAGTTGTTTGTATTTATTGTTTTAGCCTTAGCGCCACAACATAGGACTCGTTGGTGATGAATGAGCTTTCCGGTGTGGCATGGTGGTGACACTCCGGTTTGAGCCGGCCGGGGTGTTACAGAACAAGTTAAAAAAAAGCCTCCACATATTGAGGATAGTTTGCATATTCAAATGTGATCCTATCGGAACTTTAGAGATTGACAAATATGAGAATCGAAATCCCTTCCAAATTGAACGAAGTTGCTCTGGACAAAACAAATAAGCCTTTACTGGTTTGAATTTTAAAAGACAATAATAAAAAGTTAACACGTGCTCAAAACAAATAGAGAATATTTGTTATGATTAATGTGAAAGCTCCTAGGATCAAATGCTGGCAGTCTAATCTGAATATATCTATGAAATCGAGTGTGTGTACTTTGATTTGCAGAAAAAACTTTCAATTTTTGGATGGGTATAGTAGAATCATTCAATTATGAAAGATTTGGGGAACATACTAAAGAAGTTTAAGAGAGAAGTTTAGATGTTTTCATATCGGTAGTGGAGGGAAAATAAAGGGTTTTAGAGTTTTAAGGTTTTTGGCAACAATTTCTAAGTTTTGTAGAATTAAATAGGTCAAATTGTAAGTTTCAAAATTTTTGCCCTAGTATAATGTGATCGCGAGGATAGCCTTGTGAATTGCACTAGCTTTAATCTAGCCTCAGCAAAGGATATTTGAAAGTATACAAATGCATTTTGTTTTGGTGTTGAAATTCCCTCCTCATACTGAATCATTGTGCATACTTTCACAATATGTATTTGAAATGTGCATTAAACTTTTTCAAATGCATCCCATTAAGTAGAAAACGTCATTATTATCTATAGAATTTGGATTGTAGATTTGCACTAGACTTTTGACGAAGATTTCTTTGACAATATAAGGGTCAGTCCATCGCAACTTAAGCTTCCTAGGAAAATGATGTAGCGAGAGTTGTATAGTAACACTTTCTCTCATTCTTCGAAGTACTGGTGATGAATCACCTTATTGTGGTATAGTTGAACTCGCTCTTTATAACTTGCCATTCTCACATGCAAGGAAGCGGAACTCATCCAAGTAACCGGATTGCCCATATGTAGATGTTCTATTTCTAGAGGTAGGTGAGAAACCTTTCCATAAACCAACATATATGGCGACATCCCTATCGGAGTTTTAACTGTTGTTTTGTATACCATAAATGCATCATCCAACATCAGAGACCAATCCATTCTATTTTTTCTAACAATTGTCTATAATATATATTTTAGCTTGCTATTACTTTCTTTGACCTAGCCATTGGATTGCGGATGGTACGGGGTAGTGAGACAATGACGAACATTGTACTTGACGATAAGTGTAGCGTATCTCTTGTTGACAAAATATGTACCTTTATCATTAATGAAAGTCCTCAGAACACAAAATTATGAGATAATATATTTTTGTATGAATTTGGTTACCTGAATCCCCATCATTGTTAGGGAGATCAATGGCCTCGACCCATTTGCTAACATAACTGGCTGAGAGTAGGATGTAAAAATTTCTATGAGATTTGGGAAAGGGTTCCATAAAATCAATCTCCCAGACATCAAACATATCTACTTCTATAATTCCTGTATGTGACATTTCATCACGTTTTGTGTTAGTAGTACCCATTCTCTGGCACGTATGGTATTTCTTGACAAAGGTCTAAGCATCCAAATGTATTATTAGCCAGTAGAATATGGGTTGAATTACTTTTGCAGCACTTCCTTGGCTCACGAAATGTCCACCAACAAATGAGCCGTGGCCCTTATGAAGAATATATGGTATCTCGATTCGGATACACATGGTCTAATGATTCCATCTTTGCCAAAATGATTCATATATGCTTCATCCCAAAAATAGTGATTGACAAGGCTCATAAATCACTTCATTCCTTTATAGTTTAAATAAGAAGGGATAATACCACTGGCATGAAAATTAGCATACTCTGTGAATCAGGGTATAGTACGTTGCAAGAAATTCAACTTCTCATCCGAAAAAAAAAATTAATTTATACGTGATGGTGGCGATTCTGATGGTAGCCTACTAAGATGGTTGGCTACTCGACTATCACTTCTCTTTCTATCTTTAATCACAATATCATATTCTTGTAAAAATAATACTAATCGAATCAGGCACAATCTAGAATCGTTCTTTTCCATTAGATATCGCAATCAAGTATGGCAATTGTAAACAATTGTCTTAGATCCAACCAAGTAAGGTCTAGATTTTTCGAATATGAAAATAATTTCTAAAATTTCTTTCTCTATTATAATGTAATTGCACTGAGCACCCTTCAGAGTCTTACTCACATAATGAATGACATGGTGCTTCTGATCTAGCTTGTGAAACAACACAACTCCTACTGCTCCATCACTTGCATCGCACATAAGTTTAAAATGTTTACTCCAATCTGGTGCTTGGACAATTGGTGAGGATAGTAATCTTTCCTTGAGCCATTGGAACGCCTCCTCACACTTGTCCGTCCATATAAAAGGAACATCATTGCATGATAGAGCAGTAATAGGCAACAAAATTTTGCTGAACTATTTAGTAAATCTTCAACAAAATCCAGCATGTCCTAGAAAGCTTCTTGCATCATTTTCACAATTTGGAGTTGGCATAGTCGCAATAACACTTGCTTTGGGTTTATCTACTTCTATTCCAACTATGGAGACTTTATGGCTTAAGATGATGCCTTCATTGACCATAAAATGAAATTTTCCCAAATTCAAGACCAAGTTTGACTTTGCACAACGAATTAAAATATGTTCTAAATTCGCGAGGCATGTGGAGAATGTCTTGCCATAGATAGAAAGGTCATCCATAAAAACCTCAACACATAATCTAATAAATCATTGAAGATGTGATACTTATACATTTGAAAAGTTGTATGTGTCTTATATAACTCAAATTAGATTCTTCGATACACAAAGGTTCAATAAAGGCATGTGAAAGTAGTTTTTCCAACATCAATATGATTGATTGGGATATGATGGTATCCAGAATAACCATCCAAGAAACAGTAGAACTCATGACCACTTAGCTTTCTCAACACTAATCTTGAATTGGTAATGGGAAGTGATCCTTGTGAGTAACCACATTCAGCTTCCTATAATCTATACATACTCGCCAACCTTGTCATAAATAGTTCTTATTTTTCTTTGATTTTTTCTACAAATCCTTCTTTTTTCGGAACAACTTGAGTGGGGTTCACCCATTCACTATCAGATGTCACCATAATAATTCTTGTATGAAACGATTTTTTTGACCTCTTTCTTGATGGCCTCTAGAATATTTTCATTGAGACGACGTTGTGGTTAGAAGCATGGATTCACATTCTCATCCAAATAAATTTTGTGCATGCAAACCGCAGGGCTTTTCCCTTGATGTAGTTGATTAAACAAGCGATAGCCTCCTCATATTTCCTCAAAATTGTGAGCAGTTGTTCCTCCAAATCATTGTATAGAGAACTAGAGATAAATACTGGGTATGTGTTCTTTTTTCCTAGAAAGGCATACTTAAGATGATCAGGTAACTTTTTGAACTCGGATTTTGGTTTCTCATTCGCATCCTTTGATTTTTCTGGGGTTTTCTCACGAGGATATAAATCACAGTCCTTGTCAGAAACCTCAAATATTTCCATTAGTTGAGGTTAATAGTATTTGAGTTCCTAGAATGAATTATTTATCAAATCATAGTCAAATTTAGTTATACAATTTATTTTTACTGGATCAAAGTCATTTTTTCCATCATGAGGATGTAACATAGTTTCTTTTATTACAAAAGTGACTTTGTCCTCACCAAGCTATAATGTCAGTCCGCCTTTGGCAATATTAATATATGCTTGTGCAATGGTGAGAAAAGATTTTCCTAATATAATAGAAGTGTCCTTATCCTCGTTATCTCCATGATGATAAAACCTACTAAAAAAATAAACTCATTCACTAGTATTAAAACATCAAACATAACTCCATTCGGAATTCTAACAGTTCTATGAGGAACTTGTATCACAGTTCTACAAAGCATCAATTATACAAGCCCAATTGCTTGTACATTGCATATGACATTAAATTGATACTTGCTCCTAAGTCACATAATGTCTTTTTAGATTCTAGATTTCCTAATGTACATACAATTATAAAAGTCCCGACTCTCCCAGTTTTGTTGGTAGTCCTCCTTTAAAAATCGTGTGCATGTCTTTCTTAATAGAATTGCACCTCCATCTCTAGAAATGCTCATCTTTTAGCCAAAATGCCTTTTAGAAATTTAGAGTATAATGGAATGTGTAATAATGCATCGGCAAAAGGATTACTGATGTGTAATTATTGAAATATGTAAGCAAATTTAATGAATTTCTTATCTCTTTATTTTTGCTTGAGCGGCTAGGGGTACGAAATTCACGAGAATATCTTTGAGGATGCTTGTGAATTTCCAACCTCATCTTTTTCATTCTCAGATTTTTTTCTCCTTTGTGTGTTCACAATTCATCCCTTAGTGGGAGAATACATTATTTTAATAGGAGTTCAGGAAGATCTTTACCTTGATATGGAATCGGGAACTGTTTTCCACTTCTTGTCTCAATTTCCTTTGACTCATTTAGATTTTTGTCCACAATACTGGGTAGATTGCCTGGTATTTTGACTTTTAATTGTTCGGTGACCTATATCAGTTTTTTTTTTTTTTTTTTTAGCAAATTTATCTTGAAGGCTGTGTTTTGTTGAAATTTATCTTGTGATGTGATGAATAATAAATATATCATGCAGGTACATAGGCAAGTCACCGTAGTCCTACAACTCTAACATCCAAGAAACTGTAATCAACCCAAGAATCAAGGGTTATGAAATCAATTCACACGAGGGCATCAAGATGTCTATCCACTACAAAAAAGTTGAAATTCAACTAAAAAAAAAAAAAATTGTAGCAAAAGATAATGATTTTTTAGAAAAAAAAAGCCTTTTGCGAGGAAATGAGTTTAATTTCCTATACCATGTTGGTAAATGTCTTTGGCAACAACTTTGACTTTTGTAATGCAAGATAATCTTTTTTTTTTTTGTGATGAAAGTATGAAAATGAGATATAGTTACGAAAATGTGATTTCTTAGCAAAAACTCTTTTGCTATAATAATAAAAAAGAAATTAACAACAATAATGACTGATTTTTTTAGCCAAATGGTTTTAACTATGAAAATATGATTTTATAGTTAAAAACCCTTGTGCAATGAAAATAAAATTTCTTAGAAAAACAATTTTAGCGAAAAAAATTAATTTTTTAGTACATAATTTATTTTTAGCAAGAAAATTAAATTTTGTAGTTGAATGACACTTTTTAACAATGAATATATTTCATAGTTAAAAATATTGTAGCTAATTAAATATTTTTTTTATAGTGATCTTATAGTTACAAAAGTCACACTAACGAAAAGGAATCCAAGCACACGATGGTGGAGGTAATAATTTCTCATTGTTGCCTTCATGATTCTCATTATTCCTTCTAGTGCCATGTAAGGGTACGTACATAGGTACTACACTACATTTTGTTCATTATGAATTAGGATCCCCAGCTGTGGTTGCTGCTATAAATACTTGTCGTGAAACAACATACAAGAAATTTAATGATGGTTAGCCAGAAGTGAATGCCAATAATTAAAGCATTAATGACCATCGTGTTTGCAAAGTCTTTTTCAAAAAATGGCATGGACTTGGTTGGAACATTTGAGAGCTAGTTGAAAGGTGGAACAATTGAAAAGTTTGCCTCATATGCTAGCCCTAACAAGTTTAATATATTTCCCCAGTTGGACTTATCTTTGGGGTGATCTCATCCCAGTAGCTCTCTGAACCAAGTAGATGGACAAGACGAGTAGCTAAATCATTCTCTAATAAATTTTTCTTTACTAATTTTTTCTTACTTCTTTTCTTTTTTTATGATCGTCATATTTCATAGGAAAATTTCCAAATACTTTGCAAAATCTAACCTCTGTGTACCTTGAAAAGATATTATTTTTACGACAAAAGCTTTAGGATTTTCCATAACTTATTATCCTTAATATTTTAAAATAAAATTGAAGAGGGGTGTAATTTACATTTCAAATAAGGAATATGAAGAGCCAACCCAAACTATGAGCTTTGTACTTTGGAGATAAAATTTCCTAGATTGGGGCCTAAAATTATAGTTTGTTTTTAGTTTTTTGGATGAGTTACAAAGAAAGTCTAACAAACATTCTACAACTTGTGATGTGATGAATAATAAATAATTCATGCAGGTACATAGGCAAGTCACCGTAGTCCTACAACTCAACATCCAAGAATCTGTAATCAACCCAAGAATCAAGGGTTATGAAATCAATTCTAACTGGCAAGTATGAAATCAAGCCCTTGTAGTTGTTTGTTTGATTTTATTTCGATGAATAGTTCTTGTATATGAGATATCAATATTTTTTGTATGCTTTTAATTTTGTGCTTTGGACTTTTTTCCGTGTTGTCAATTTATCCTTGGTTTTGATTCTTTGAGTTTCACCTTGTGCGATAATTGGATGATGCTCTATTGTACATTTGTTGGTTTGGTGAATTTGTGTAAAATTTACTTTCTAGAGTATTGTTTTTAAGCTCGATTGTGGTGAAATGAATATCTTAAAAAAATATTACTATATATAAATATGGAAGCTTGATGGAAAGTTGGGGACAAGGCTGTGCGTAAATGTTTATATGGAAGTATTAATTTTCCTATACACGCTACCTAAATATTCTACACGGTGTATAGTTAATGCAACCTTCCTAAACTCCATCATGTTCCTTCTTATTGTGTTTTTGGAGTTTTTCAAAGAATTTTGTTTTTTTGTTAATTTTGTTTGAACGTGATTCTAACAATATATCATTTTTTTTATGAAACTTTAGAGACTCGGACCCTGAATTCATGCTCATGGTTTATTATCTTGTGTTTAAGGATCAAGGAGAGCTAGAAATGATAAGGCCTGAATTATATGATCTAGACACTGATCAAATTTAACCATAAGCTTAGAATGACCCTCAAGTAAATTGCCTCTACTCATGCTTCATATTCATAAGGCATGCGTCCTATCTTGAATATTTCTTCTAAGTTCATTCTTTTTATACCTATTTCATCCTTAATGGCCAATATAATGCCTATTGCTCAATATTTTTCTCCATCAGGCTATGTAAAATCATTTAGCAGCCACAATAATAGCATTTTATAATCTTTTTGGCTTTGCTCAAATGTGATTTTAGTTGTGTTATATATAGCCATCATCTACTAAAACGCAACCAAAATCATATTTGAGCAAAGCCAAAAAAAGTTAAGGCTCTATTATTATTGCTGCTGAATTTATATAGCCTGATAGAGACAAATATTGATCATTAGGCATTAAATGCTAACCATTAGAGATGAAATAGGTACAAAAAGAATGAACTTAGTAGAAATGTTCAAGATAGGACGTGTGCCTTTTGAATACGAAGCATGAATAAAGGCCATTGACTTGAGGGCCATTCCGAGCTCATGGTTAAATTTAATTAGTGTATAGATCATATGATTCAGGCCTTATCATTTCAAGCTCACCCTAACCCTTAAATAGGAGATATAACCAATGAGCATGAATTCAGGGTCTGATTTTCTAAATTTTCTTAAACACAATCTTAGTAGACTTTGAATACTCCATCTCTGAATGCAACCTAGAAAAAACCAACAATAATCAAATTCAAACCAAGTCAACAAAAATATACATATAGTATTGGGATCACATTTGAACAAAGTTAACAAAATAATAAAAATTATTGAAACAACATGAACATGTATGAAGTTTAGGCATACTGCATTAAATATGCACCTTGTAGATAAATATTTCGATCACATGTATAGGAAAACCATTACTTCCCAAAACATTTACGCAAACTGTTGACCCCAACTTTCCATCAAGCTTCCATATTTATACATAGTTATATGTTTAAAGAAATTGATTACACCACAATTAACACATTTCACCACAATCAAGCTTAAAAAACAATACTCCAGAAAATAAATTTTATACAAATTTACCAAAACCAAAATAAAGTAGAGTAGAGTATCATCCCACCACCGCACAAGGTGAAACTTAAAAAATCTAAACCAAAAATAAATCAACAACATGGAAAAAGTCCAAAGCAAAAAATTAGAAGCACACACGAAACACTGCTATGTCATCTGCATGAACTATTCACTAAAATGAGAAAAAACTCAATTAAAGAGTCTCCATTGCATACCTATCTGGTAGAACTAATTTCATGATCCTTGATTTTTGTGTTGATTACAATTTATTGGTAACATAGAGTTGCGAGATTGCAGTGGCTTGCCTATGTACCTATATATATTATTCATCTTTTATCAGATCACAAGCTGTAGAATCTTTGTTAAATTTGCTTTAAAAGTTATCTAACAACAAAGTCTCATTTTAGGCGTCAATCTGGGGAAATTCTAACTCCACAATACAAAGATCACTGTTTGGGCTGGCTTTCATAATCCTTCAATTTTGAAATGTAAATTACACCCATCTTCACTTTCAATTAAATATATTGAGGATAGTGAATAATGGAAAAGCCTAAAGATTTTGTGGTCAACAATAATATCTTTTCAAGGAATAAAAAGAATAGATATTGTGAAGTATGGGTAAACTGTTTTTTAGTCCCGTAACTGGACCCCCTTATTGTTTTAGTCCCGTAAGTAGAGCCTGTCGCAAAATAGTCCCAAAAGTGAAAAATTTTCACGTTTTAGTCCTCCGGCGCTGGAAACGCCCACGTGGCTCGCCAGAGGCCACGTGTCCGCCAGGTCAGCAACACCTGGCAACACGTGGATTTTATTTTATTTTTTAATTTTTTTAAATTTTTTTAAAAATTTATTTTTAATTTTATTTGCCTTTTTAAATTTTTTTATTTGGTCCAATTGAAAAAAATTTAAAAAATATAAAAAGAAGTAAAATCCACGTGTCCGCCAGGTGTCGCTAACCTGGCGGGACACCTGGCTGACACGTAACTTCCAGCGAGCCACGCGGACATCTTCGGTGCTGGAGGACTAAAACAATAAAAATTTTCCACTTATGGGACTAGTTTGCGACAGCCTTCACTTACGGAACTAAAATAATAAGGGGTTGGAACTAAAAAACAGTTTACCCTGTGAAGTATTTAGAAATTTTCTTATGAGACTTGATGATTATAAAAAGAAAAGAAGTAATAAAAAGAAAACTTACCTAGAAAAGGTAAGTGCAGTAGAGAATGATTTAGACTCTTGTCTTCATCATATACTTGATTCAAAGAGCTATTGAGATGAGATCTTCTCAAAGATAAGTTCAACTGGAGAAACATTTTAAATTAGTCATTGCTAGCATTTGAGGCAGGATTTTTAATTATTCCACCTTTCAACAGGCTCTGAAAAGTTTCAACCAAGTCGATGAAATTTTTACAAGAAGACTTGTTGCAGACACAATGATCATTGATGATTTAATTATTGACATTCACTTGTGGCCAACCATTTTTAAAATTCTTGTATGTTTTTCTACAAATAGTACTAAAGCAGCATCCATAACTGAGATCCTATTTCGTAGTGAGGTAAATGTAATGTATTATGTTTGTATTTACCCATACATGGAATTGGAAGGAATAATGAGAATCATGAAGCAACCATGAGAAACTATTACCTTTGCCCTCGTGTGCTTGGATCTTTCTTCTTTACTGTGAATTTTGTAACTATAAGATCACTAAAATAATACTTAATTAGCTACAATATATTTAACTACCGAATATTTTTCATAGTTAAAAAGTATCATTCAACTGCAAAAATTAATTTTGTCGCTAAAAATATTTATGTACTATAAAATTAATTATGTCCCTAAAATTCTTTTTCTACAAATATCTTATTTTCATAGCACAAGGATTTTAACTACAAAATTATATTTCATAGCTAAAATCATCTGACTACAAAAATCATGTATATTTTGTTGCTAAAATTCTTATTATTTTTTTCAATAAAAAATTATTTTTATAGCAAAAAAAACTTTAGCTACGAAATCATATTTTCGTAGTTATATCTCGCTTCTATACTTTCATCGCAAAAACTTATCTTGCATTACAAAAGTCAAATTTGTTGCCAAAGACATTTACCAATGTGGTATAGGCAACAAAATTTATTTCGTTGCAAAAGCCTTTTTGCTATAAAATCATTATCTTAATACCTTTGGTTGTGAAGGGCAATGAAATTGGTCTACATGTGTTCCATCATTCTTCAGCTATAGGCTATGGACATATCTCGGAGCCTTTCTGAAATTACAGCACCATGAACAACTATTAGCAAGACCCAAAAGGACATCAAAATCTAGTCAAGAACTAGATCATGGAGCTGAAAAACAAAATTAAATAAAAATATAATATAAGCAGATGCCATAAATGCGATGCCTATGCAAGAAGGAAAATTTGAGTGCCTAATCTACAAATTATCCGAAATTTATTGTAGATAAGCTACCAAACAGGTGGAACAACTAAATCTAAAATAACATATAAGTATATAATAGCATATAAAAAAAATAAAAATCAACGGCGCTCAAAATTGATAATCTAATCTTCAAATTACGCTAATTTATAGTAAAATAGACATACAAATGCAATTGTGCTTCAATCGACTATGAAAAAAATTTAAATTTTATTGAAAATTAAAAACATTGTGATTCTAAATACCCATAAAGATCCCACCGACAAATATCATAAAACTATGATCTAATAAAAAGATCCTTAGAGAACACATCTAGTGATTTAACTATAAGAAATTGGAGGAGGAGACTCACCCGGGGGCTGGAGCTGGGGCTGGGTTGGGAGCGAGAGAAGGAAGCCATGGCGCGGTAAGAAAGAAAAAAGAAAGTAGCGTGGCAACACAAGGATGATTTGGGAATCCGTAGGTATCTCTTATATAATCTTTCCAGTGGTGGCGTAGTAGGGTGATTAGGCGGTGGGCCTCTGGCGGTGAGGCGGTGCGGTGCGTATCCTACTTTCCACCTGTATTCGACTGATAAACACAATTGAATTTTCTAGTTCCGAAGATGAGCGTTAGAAACATAAATTTATATTAGCTCATTCATTGAATAATAATAATAAAAATAATGAAAAAAAAAAATTACACGTAGCTAACCATCCATGTCAAATATACATATATACGATACATACATACATACATCCATACATACATACATCCAAACATACCTAACATCATACATGCACATAAACATACACGCGCGTGCGCACACACACATGATTGAAAAGGCTGGAGTAATATGGTTGAATTGTACATAAAATCAAGAAATTATTGATTATTAATTGGATTAGATATGAAATAAATAATATCATTGTCGTAGCTCAATTTATTGGTTCCCAAATAATGTGCTTATTCTATTTTTTACCGGATTTTAAGTTGTAGTATATTTCTCATTTATGTTTGAGTCTGATGAATATAAACATGCATTAAGATTGGTTATTCTAGGCAACATAATTTAGATCTTCTTGAGAATAAACTAGGATAACAACAAAGTAGGTCTAATTGAGGTTAATGCTACATCATTTAGTGGGAAAAGTAGAAATGCATTAGCCTGGTGAAGTTTATAGTATTATGACCAAGGAATGAAATGATAATGGATTGTGAAATATCAAGAATATATATATATATATATATAAGCTTAGTGTTGTTGTATGGAGCTTATGGATGTTAGAGATAATGTTATAATGTGATATAATTTTGATGTAAATGATGAGAAAAAAAATGATTAAATGTTGGTTTAGGATCCTGCCTAGTAGAAGTGATAATGACTTGAAATGACTTGAAGATATGAATTCAATGGGATTGTAGTTCTAAGGATGGAGTAAGCAAAAGAATGATTGTAGTCACAATTGTCATTTAAGTGAAAACTACTGGATCTATTAGTACTTGACCTAAAGGGCACGTGGACAATTGAGTTCATAACTAAGACGTTATTAGCTAGCAAATCCTCTATCGTGGGACATAGCTGCGATCTTGCACACTTTGCATATATCTCGTTAATTATCTTTGTTTTTGCTACTTTTCTTTATTTTACGTTAAATTATGCCTACGAGTTTGAGAAGGTTTCATCGCTTGCTTGTTCACTAGTGACAATTTATACATTATTTTTGGCACATTACAAGACATGGATTGACAATTTAGCTCTTCCGCAACATAAACAACAAACATAATTAAATAGCATAAGCGTAGGTGTGGAATTTGTGATAACTAATGATATGGGGGATTTAAAAAAATATTTTATTTCTAAGAAACTTAAAAATTAACAACTATATTAAATTATAAAGTAGTAATATGTCATTAAAGAATTTGGACTAAGGAATTGGAAATCTATGGTGGAGTCTCTACCATATATGGCCTCTAAACGTCACTATTATCTACTAGATCAAACTCAATATAGTTTAAACTCTGCATAAAATTTTACACTTGACTACTAGGATGACTGAACTTAAATTACAAATGACACAAATCAGGCCGCTACTTATAGACATTACGGGTAAAGCATCCACTGTGTTTGCATATTAAAAAATGTCAAACCCTTTTTATTTCTACTTTTAGAATATGAAAAAATATGCAGGATGTTGTTTGAGCTTTCGGTCGATAGCATTTCCGGAAATCTGTCAAATGCATAGAGTTGACCGAGGTGCTGGTTTTGGATGTATCTTGCGTATCCCACACTCGATGGAATAGGACAAATGTATGTGTGTTGGACAGAGAAAATGCATTAGAGACTGTATGTTTTGTCCTCTTGTACTGCATGACATTTATTGCCCTGATACACTGCCCCAAAGTTGACCCACAATCAACTTTGTCTCTTGTATGTAGTGTTTGTATTTTGTGTTGGTTGTGTTTGTATCAGTGGAGAGATACACAACACTTTGAATTAGTATTCATTCCACCTGTTAGAGTGTTGAGAGAACTCATCAATGGAGGATTGAAAATGAGAAGAAGGATTCTTGGAGTCGAAGCCAAACAAGATGTTAGTCGGGTAAACAACTTGTTCTTAGCTTGGTCGTTGGTCTGCTGAAGTTGTTGCGGTGTAGTAACAGCCAACCCATGAGAGTTTGTATAAACTGAATGGAGCTTTGGTAGAAGATAGGTTGGGTAGTTTGGTTGGTGTCTTATTTGGTGTAAACCAAGTTTTTGGTTTAGTTAAGACTCTTGGATTGGGATCCCTCAGACGTAGGTTGGAAAACCGAATTGAGTAAACAAACTTGGTGTGTTGTTTTTCTTTCTGCACTTATTCAGCCATCGATTTTTGTACAAACACACACTGTTGTTATAACTGTGAGACAACTATGTTGTAAAGCTGTGGTTACGTCGAACGTTTCACAGTTCCACTGTGCAAGTTACTTGGAGGTGTTGGACCTCTTATTCGATCATCTACCGACAATTTCCAACATCTAGTATCAGTTCAGCATGCTCAATGCACCAAGTAGATCTGTCCATGGTTCAAGATGAGTCGTGAAGTAATCTCGTCCATTCATCCACCTGTGTTCGATGAGAACAAGTACACCTTCTGGAAAAACATCATGGAGACGTACCTGCTAACTCTTGGTGAAGAAACTTGGGAAGCTCTAGAGCTTGGTTGGACTCCTTCAACCAAAGTTATGCCTGGAGAAACTTAGAACAACCCCCAACTATTATTTTGAAGCCGGAAATGAGTGGACATTTGAAGAAAAAATTGCTGCTGGTGGAAATGCTAAAGCTATAAATGCCATATTTGCCTCAGTTGATGAAGTTCAGTTTCATGTCATCTCAAACTGCAAGAAAGCAAATGATACATGAAGAGCCTTGAAAAATGCATTCGAAGGGATTGCTGAAGTTAAAGACAGAAAACTCCAAAGGGTGGAAAGCATGTTCAAAGTTTTGAAAATGACTGATGATGAAACAATGTCTGAGTTCTACACTCGATTCAAGGATGTGGTGAACCAAGCATATGCTCTTGGCTTGGAATATGATGAAGAAAGGCTGGTTCGAAAGATGCTGAGAAGTGTGAACAAAAAGTTAAAAATCAAAGTCTCTACTCTCGAGGATAAGAAGAAAACCAAGAACATGAATCTTGAAACCTTAAATGGTATTTTCATAAATTGTTGAATCTGATGAAGAAATTTCTCTATTGTCCAAGAAGTTGTCTCGAATGATAAGTGAAAAACGTGCTGAAAAATTCTACAATTCTTGAAACAGAAGTCACTATGGTGGTAAAACAACTGGTGAACAACGAAAGTATCGAAAACAGAAAAGTGCTGGTTACAACAAATGAAAGGGAGCTTATGATAAAAGCTACGAGAAGAAGTTCAACACTGTTTCTAGACCAGAAAACTCAAGTGATCCGAAATTCTTTGCATGTGGTGGAGTTGGCCATGTGAAAGTTGAATGTGGAACGTTCAAGAAGAAAGGAAAGCATGAATTTCAAGCTACCTAGAGTGATGAGGAAGACAGTCAAGAATCTGAAGAGGAAAGTGATAATGAAAGTGTAGATGCTTTTGTCATCAAAGAAGGAGAATCTAGAAAAGGAAAAGAAAATGCTCCAGAAGAAGAATGTAACAACAACGACACAATAAAGATAGACATCTATGATCTGATGAAAGCTTATGAGGAAGTTGTAGGCGAACAAAACATTTGTGTCAAGAGAAACAAGGGTTTGATCAACACAGTTTACCATTTGGAAGCTCGAGTTGAAAAAGTTGAGAAAGTGAATCAAAAAATTTTTGAAATCAATGAAGGACTTCAGAGGGAAGTCAAGCAACTGATAATGAAGTGTGATTATCTGAGGAAAGAAAATGATGGGCTCAGAAAAGGAAAAGACAAACTCAATGAAGTTATATCGATTGGGAAGCCATTTGGAGATCATCGTGGGATAGGTTATCAAGAATCCATGAACATGAAGCCAACTACCTTTGTAAAAGGTGGTTTTCTTACTGATGTGAAGATTCCAGATAAACCTCCAAGGGGAAGAACACTGAAGGTTCTAAAGAAAACAGAAAGAAGAGGCGAAATCAAAATCGCAGAAGGAACAGATGTATCAATTCGTCGTTACAAAAGAAAAGTAACTGTAAGTACTGTTTTTTATTTGCTCATGCTGAATCTCGCTGTTTCAAGATGGATAGAGACTTGATGTCTGGAAAGAAGGTTAATTGGCCTTCAGATGAGCTGAAACATAGGGTGAATTTCAAAATGGAATGGAGACCTAAGAAGAATCAATCTCAAATGATGTGCAATGTCATCCTATGTAGTCAAGAAGCAACTAATTCATCCCGATGGTATTTTGATAGTGGATGCTATTGAAGAATTATGTAGGTAGCACTTGTGGAGAAGTGATATTTCGAGATGGAGCCAAAGGAAAAATTGTGGGCTATGGTTCTCTTGAAGCCAAAGATATACCGAAGTTGTCGAAGGTATATTTTGTTGAAGGCTTGAGTACTAATCTCATTAGTATCAGTCAGTTATGTAATGATAAACTGCAAGTGAAGTTTACTAAGGATGTTTGTGAGCTGTACAAAAATAAGAAGGAGTGCGTGATGACTAGAAAAAGGTCAAGGAACAACTGGTACTTACTTGACAAACCCATGGATGTTGCATTGATCTTAAAGGATGATGAAACCCTTCTATGGCATACAAGACTTGGCCATGTCAACCAGCAAAACTTGATGAAGTTGAGCAAGTAAGGAATTATTAGAGGACTTCCAAATTTTTCGAAGTTACCTAACTTTGTTTGTGGTGATTATGCTCGAGAAAAACAGAAACGTGTCTCTCATCCGCAGTCGGAACATCAAAGCAGCAACACTTGTCTTGATTTGCTGCACATGGATTTGATGGGTCCGGTGGATACACCCAGTCTTGGAGGTAAAAGATACATACTTGTCTGCATTGATGATTACTCAAGATACAAACGGGTTGATTTTATTAAGAAGAAAGGAGATACATTTGTCATCTTTGAGAAATTGTGCAAAACATTGATGAATGAGAAGAGATCAAAGGTGAATCGAATTCGTACCGATCATGGTAAGGAGTTTTAGATCAACAAGTATGATTGTTTTTTTATTGATCTTGGAATACTTCGTGAGTATTCAGCCCTGAAGACCCCACAACAAAATGGAGTTGTGGATAGGAAAAATCGAACACTTCAAGAAATGGCTCGATCAATGATGCAAGCCAAAGGTGTTGCAAAGTACTTATGGGCTAAGGCTATCAATACCGCATTTTATATGATCAACAGAGTATATCTGAGACCGCACACTGAGATCACACCTTACGAGCTATGGAAATGAAGGAAGCCGAATATGCCATACTTTCACACATTTGGATGTCGATGCTACATTTTGAAGGATAAGAGCTATTTTCAGAAATTTGATGCAAGATCAGATGAAGGAATATTCATTGGTTATTCTCATAACAACAGAGCTTATCGTGTTTATAAGAAAAGGATGATGAAAGTTATGGAATTGATTAATGTGACTTTCGATGACTCACATGTGGAAAGAAGATTAATCAATCAAGAGGATGATGAAGACTTCTTCCAACTGTTCAGAAGTAGAATACTTTACCTGAGGTTCAGAACCCTCTACCTCATATTCCAGAACCAACTCACGATGAGAGTTCGATGCAATTTGATTGGAGTGAAGCAGATGAATCTATTGAAGTTACAACTGCTGCAGAACAACTTGGAGAATACCAGTCTGATGCTGAAGTTAGGAAATTTGGTTCAATAATTCCTAAGAACCATCGTATTGATGTTTTCATTGGAGATCCACAAGAAGGTCGTCAAACCATAGGAAAGCAAACCGATTTTAGGGAATTTTCTAGTATGAATTGCTTTGTGTCTACCATTGAGCCAAAGAATATTGAAGAAGCGCTGAAAGATGAGTACTAGATCAGTGCTATGCAAGATGAGCTAAATCAGTTTGGAAGGAACAGAGTCTGGACGTTGGTAGAACGACCAGATGACATCAATGTCATTGGAAGGAAATGGATATTCAAGAAAAAATATGATGAGAAATAGAATATCACAAGGAACAAAGCTCGACTAGTTTCTCAGGGATACACTCAAATTGAAGTAGTTGATTATGATGAAACGTTTGTCCCTATTGCAAGAATTGAAGCCATGATGTTATTACTCTCAATCTCATGTTCGCTTGGATTTTTCTATTTTAAATGGATGTCAAAATTGCATTTTTTAATGGATGGATCAAACAGGAAATATATATGGAGTAGCCTAAAGGATTTGAAGATCCATTCTTTTCGAATCATGTCTACCGATTGAGGAAAGCTTTGTATAGATTGAAGCAAACACCCCGTGCTTGGTACGATCGACTGTCGACGTTCTTGATTGGAAAAGAATACTAAAGGATCCATTGATAAGACATTATTCATCAAACATAAAGGTACTGATGTTATGATTGCTCAAGTTTATGCCGATGATATTGTCTTTGGATCTACGACAAATAAGTTAAAGAATGAATTTGTGGAGTTCATGCATTCAAAATTCGAGATGAGTATGGTAGGGGAGCTGACATACTTCCTTGGATTGAAAATCAAGCAATGTACTGATGGGATATTTCTGAACCAAATGAATAATGCAAAGAATATGGTTAAGAAGTTTGGTATGAAGAGTTCTAAGACTGTTAGAACACCGTTGGGACAACAAGACAAGCTGTCTACGAATGCTGAAGGAAAGGATGTCGATCAGAAATTGTATATGAGTATTATCGGAAGTCTTTTGTATCTTACTGCTAACAGACCCGATATCACATTTAGTGTTGGTGTTTGTGCTCAATTCCAATCACCCTCGAAATAAGATCACTTGAAAGCCGCAAAGAGAATTTTGAGGTATATTCATGGAACTTCCGAACTTGGATTGTGGTATTCTAAGAGATCATCACTTGATGTAATTGGATTCACTGATTCCAATTGGGCCGGATGCCGTGATGATCAGAAGAGTAAGACTGGAGAATGATTTTGCATTGATAAGAATTTGAGAAGCTGGAGCTCGAAGAAACAAAGTTTGATTGCTTTATCTACTGCAGAAGTGGAGTATGTAGCTGCTGGAAGTTGTAATGCACAATTGTTATGGAATAAGAAAATGTTGGAGGATTATGGTATTGAGAATGAGTCGTTTATACTGTGGTGTGACAACACCAGTGCAATCAACATATCAAAAAATCCAGTTCAACATGATGAAACGAGTTCAACATGGTCGAACGAAGCACAAAGAAATTTGATATCATTTTATCCGAGAACTTGTGGAACTTGAAGTGTGCAAATTGCAGCACATTGAGACTGATTTTCAAAAGGCAGACATCTTTGACCTAGCCATTGGATTGCGGGTGGCACGGGGTAGTGAGACTGTGGCGAACATTGTACTTGACAAGAAGTGTAGCGAATCTCTTGTTGACAAAATGTGTACTTTTTCATTAATGAAAGTCCTCAGAACACCAAATTATGAGAAAATATATTTTTTTATGAATTTGGTTACCTGAATCCTATCATTGGTAGGGAGATCAACGGCCTCGACCCATTTGCTGACTTAATTGACTGAGACTAGGATGTAAACATTTCTATGAGAGTTGGGGAAAGGGTCCCATAAAATCAATCTCCCATACATCAACCATATCTACTTCTATAACTCCTTTATGTGGCATTTCATCACGCTTTGTGTTAATACCCATTCTCTGGCATGTATCGTATTGCTTGACAAACGTCTGAGCATCCAAATGTATTGTTTGCCAATAGAATCTGGATTGAGTTACTTTTTCAGCACTTCATTGGTTCACGAAATGTTCACCAACATATGAACCGTGGCCCTTATGAAGAATATGTGGTATCTCATATTCGGATACCCATCGTCTAATGATTCCATCTTTGCCAAAATGAATCATATATGGTTCCTCCCACAAATAGTGATTGACAAGGCACAGAAATCACTTCATTCCTTTATAGTTTAAATAAAAAAGGATAATACCACTGGCATGAAAATTAGCATACTCTGTGAACCAGGGTATAGTACCTTGCAAGAAATTCAACTTCTCATCTGAAAAACAAAAAAAAAAATTAATTTATACCTGATGGGTGGCAATTTTGATGGTAGCCTACTAAGATGGTTGGCTACTAAATTTTCACTTCTCTTTCTATCTTTAATCACAATATCATATTCTTGTAAAAATAATACCAATCGAATCAAGCACAATTTAGAATCCTTCTTATCCATTAGATATCGCAATGCAGTATGCTAATTGTAAACAATTGTCTTAGATCAAACCAACTAAGGTCTAGATTTTTCGAATGTGAAAATAATTGCCAAAATTTCTTTCTCTATTGTAATGTAATTAGACTGAGCACCGCCAAGAGTCTTACTTGCATAATGAATGACATGGTGCTTTTGGTCTAGCTTATGAAACAACACAGCTCTTACTGGTCCATCACTTGCATCACACATAAGTTCAAAAGGTTTACTCCAATCTGGTGCTTGGACAATTGGTGAGGATAATAATCTTTACTAGAGGCATTGGAACGCCTCATCACACTTGTCCGCCCATTGAACGAATGTTGCTTTGATGACGCCGGATGAATTTTCCCTATTACATCCGACGCCCAGGTTTGAAATGACCATGGTTTAATCATCGCCTGGAGTTCCATTGCTGGCAGATGGTTTAACGGGCCATGTCTCTGGCACTTCTGACACCCTTTAGCAAATTTGATACAATCATCAAATATTTTTGGCCAGTAAAACCCCAAACGGTGAATAGCCCATCGTATGTTCAAACCTGCTCGGTGTGCTCCACAAATTCCACCATGAACTTCTTCCATCACTTTGATGGATTCGTCTGGTCCCAAACATCTTAATAACACTCCTTTGAAGGTTCTCTTGTACAAAACCCCTTCTATAAGTTGAAAGCGTAATGCTTTCAATCTAATACCCACAGGAGTCGCAGAATTTGGTGATTCCAGATAAACCATAATTTATGTCCTCCAATCGGTAATCGTATCAATGTTACCAACAATTATTTGTTGACACGCATTCTGAGCCAAACTATCGGCTTGTCAATTCTCTATTCTCGGTACATGCTCAATAACCACCTCTGCAATTCTATCTAACAGGCGATATACCAAATCTCTATATTGACGTAAATGAGGATAATTATAAGCGTACCGTCTTAACACTTGATTGATGACCAATTGAGAATCTCCTCAAATCATGACCGTCTGTGCCCCTTTAGCTATGAGTGCCTCCAGACCTAAGATCAATGCTTCATATTTTGCAGAGTTGTGAGTCATCTCTTCCATTTGAAGTTGCAAACTAATCTTCCTGGCTCCTGATCCTTCCAATATAACTCATGCTCCTGATCTCCCTTTTGAACGAGAACCATCAAAAAACATTTTCCAGGGACTAGTACCTATATAGGGTTCCATTCTGCTTTCTGTTGGTTCGCTATTTGAAAATTCAGCTAAGAAATCAGCCACTACCTGCCGTTTTACTGCCTTGATAGGCCGATGTCGCAACGCAAAAGGAGCCAATCTGATCGCCCATTTCACTAACCTTCCCTGCATAGTTGGTCTGTGCAGAATTAATCTGATCAGATCCACTTTAGAAACCACCTCGGTTTCTCTCGGCAGAATATAGTGCTCCAATCGAGTACGTGCGAAGACTAAAGAATAACATTTTTTGGGCATAGTATAATTCAACTCCGGCCCGGCCAGAGTTTTGCTTAAGTAGTAAATAGCCCTTTCATTACCGTCTTCCCATTCTTGCGCCAGCAGACTACTCACCACATCGAAACTATTTGCCACATACAATCTAAGAGGTCGGTCTCTTCTTGGAGGCATCAACACAGGTGGTTTTGTTAATGCTTGCTTAATTTCTTCTAGTGCCTACTGCTGCTCCGGTCCCCAAGAAAAATCAGTTGCTTTATTCTTGAGCAACTTTGTGATGGATTTTAATTTCCCTACGGCATTTTATATGAACCTCCTCAGGTAATTCACTTTACCCAAAAAACTTTGTACTTCTTTGACCGACCGAGGAGGTCGCATTGCCAAAACAGCTTTAATTTTGTTTGCATCAACCTCTATTCCCTTTTCATGCACTAAAAAACCAAGAAATTTCCTGCCGAAACCCCAAAGGCGCATTTCGTTGGGTTCATTTTCAAGTTGTACTGCTTCATCCGTAGGAAAGCATTTTCCAAGTCGACCAGATGTGTATCAAAATCAGTGGACTTAATGATCACATCATCAATATACACCTCCATGGACTGCCCAATCAAATAATGAAAGATAGTATTCATTGCCCGTTGATAAGTTGCTCCGGCATTCTTTAACCCGAACGGCATAACCGTCCATTCGTAGATCCCCAAGGCTCCTGGGCACCTGAATGCGGTTTTTGGTATATTTTCTTCCGCCAATGAAATCTGGTTATAACCCGCATAACCGTCCATCAAGCTTAAGATTCGATGTCCTGCCGCTGAATCGATCAGCATATCAGGTATGGGCATTACATACTCATCTTTAGGAGTTTCTAGATTGAGATCTCTGAAATCAATGCATATCCGAATCTTCCCATTCTTCTTGGTTACTGGGACAACATTGGCTAACCATTCTGCATATCGACAAGGTCGAATGAATCCTACTTTCAACAATTTCTCAATTTCTTGTTTGATCTTCGGGAGCAGTTCTGGACTAATCCTTCTTGGTGTTTGCTTATACGGCTTGAGCTCCTTCTTAATTGGCAACCTATGTTCTATTAAATCCCGTGCCAATCCAGGCATTTCAGAATAATCCCATGCCAAACACTCCATATGGTCCCGAATTACCGTTACCATTTGCTTCTGCTGGTTTTTAGACAATAAACCACTAACCCTGACCATCTTGGGTATCTGTTTGGTTGCCACATTGTATTCAATAAGCGGATCCTGCGTTGACAAGGTTCTATTCTTTCCAGAAGGTCAGGCCAGCAAAAGCCTTCTCCCTCACAAACACTATTGTTGGAACCTCCCTTACTATGAAGTCTGACCATTAATTGGTCTAAATAAAACTACTTAATCCACAAAACGCATTCACTTATCATTTCCATAATTAAAGTTTAATAATTTTAACATTGGCGAACAACGGAGCCACAAGAAATAAATTTTTTCTAATGAAACACATACCCCTGCGCAGTGAGGCTACAGCTCTTCCAGGGATACTCATCTACCACAACTGTTTGTGAGATTGGAGGCACATACTCGGAATAAAGTACAGACTCTTCCATAACTTCTGTAGAACCGAACGGATTAGTGCTGGCATCCATTCTGAACACTTGATCTCCTTCTCAAAACATGATCTGCTGATGGAGAGAAGAGGGCACGCATTTGGAAGCATGAATCTAGTCTCGCCCTACCAGGACCGAGTAAGTAGTGTTAGCATCTACCACAAAGAACACCGTTGAAATCACCTTTGGTCCGACTTCAATAGGGGCTACCATCATCCCTTCTGGTTTTGTTGGTTGCCCCGTGAAACTTGTCATCTCGATATCTACTGGAGACAGATCACCAATTCCTTTTCCTAATTTCTTCAATGTCTTGAGAGGCATAACGTTGAAGACAACCCCATTATCGATAAAAACCTTGTTAACTGGCTTAGCACATATGTGAGCGTTAACATATAATGGTTTCAGGTTTGGAATTGCTCCTTCTGGTATAGGTGAAAAAACCATAGATGGGGGACTGTTGCGTGAATGTCCGGGACTACTAGCCATTGCCACCCATTCTGGTTCCTCTTCCTTTAGCCTTGCCCATATAGGCTCATCTTCTTCCTCGAATCACCACATACCAGTCATCCTGATTTCGAACCCGGTTTTGTCGGTCTTCACTATCTCGCTACATAAAGCCCTCGTCTTCTCTGGAGCAAACGACCCAAAGATTATCTCAGGCGTCTCTCCTTCAGCCGCTTCTATCTCAGGATCAATGTTGATTCGCCTACAGAATTGACACCGGAAACACCTAGCCTTCTTGATAGGCCTTTCGATCTCCCCGTGCTCCTGTAATCAGTCGCTCGAGTTTTTCCTTTTGGGTGACATCTCCCTCTTCTCCTTCCATTTGTCTACTCGCCTCCCGTGTCGATTCATACCTGGAAATTGGGGATCTATGTTTATGGGTAAAGGCTTTCTGTTCCAACTCCATTTGCCATGGACTGGTTGTGTCTTGCGCGTTGGTCGATCTCGCACTACCACTTTGTCTTGCAACTCTACTTCGAATGATCCATCTTTTTTATCCCACCTCTCAGCCACCCTGATCTCGCAGGTCTTGAACTTATCATCCTGATCAAGCTCTCGCTCTTTTGGCTTACGCTCCCTCCATTTGGATTTTCCTTCTCTTTCATCGTTTCTTGTGTGCTCTGTGAAGAACGCACAGAGATTACAACAATAGTCACTTTTGGGAAGGGCTGCTGCTCTATTCCCATCGTCACGTATTTGAATCTTCCTGCTTTGATAGCACTCTATATTTTCTTTCGGAAGTGCGTACACTGGTTAGTGTAATGCGTAAAAGAGTTGTGCCACTTGCAATATGG